ATATTACTAATAAAATGCCTAAAATGTTAGTCACCAGGTAACAGAGCTTCAAAGTACATTCTTTATGCTGGACAAACTCTATAGGACTCATGGGGGAATTGGCAGAGAATTATAATCAAGGATTCAAAGAAAAGTGTGTTGTCATTTTGAGGATTCGAGGATAGTAATGTTATGAATCAACCATTATTTCTCTCAGAAAAATACATTGTACTTTACTACCATATACACATTTAGCTGCAGAGCATACAAAAATGTCACATACCTTTGGCATCAGTAACAAAATGTCACTGTACTCTTCAGTTCATATCCTGTCTACCTTTTTACTAAGGAAACCAAAAAATCCTTAATTTTAAAAGAAAAAAAATGGTACAATATAGAAGAAAGCAAGCAAGAGAGGGCACCCTCCAATCCCTGAAGTCTCTCACTGAGGATAAAGCAGTATCATATTTTGAATGCATTCCTCAAAACACTAATATGAGCAACAAGAGAAGCAAAACTTTAGACTTTAGACTTAATATAGTCTAATCAATTATCTGAAAGGATGAGAGCTGTTTGTAAACTAAAATGAGATTAATGGAATAGAAACTGCTTTGGTCACTGTAGGTAGGTTGGGGATAGCCTGTCCAAACAGGTAAGAAAGGAACTGAACCTGAATGATTAGAAAAACTGAAAGAAAAGAAAAGTGTTCCCAATAGTAGTGTAAGGGTAAAAAGTGTCATGGGAGAAAGAAACTTGAAATGTTGGAGGAACAAACAAAAAGCAAATAGGGTAGGAATATACAGAATAAGCATTACATGAAATGGAATTGCAGAGACATGTGAAAATTCTTCTGCTTGCTGTAGAACCTTCTCTTCTGTTGAGAATGTAGAACCTAGAACCATGTTTTGCCCATGTCGGTGTTTAATAAAGTTATGTTGAATGAAGATAGAAAACTTGGGTCAGATGATCTTAATAGTCCATCGGGGCAGGGAACAGAAAATTTTTGCAGAACAGAAATATAGGCAAGTTTAAATTTTATCCTAATCACAGGGAAACACATTCAAATGTTTTTAGCATGGGAATGGTCTGATCTGCTTTTACTTTGTTTTCAGTACCACTCTAGCCACTATGTGAGACTAGTTCACAGGGGAGTTGGACAATATGCTGAAGCTCCTAAATTGCTCCTTAAGTCTCTTCTCTCCCCTTTACCACATCTGTACCAGAAAACCAGCTGATGTAGGCTCTGTCTTCTGGCTTCTAGTTGTGTTCAACCAATAGGATTTTTAACAGACCTTGAGAAGGAGAGAGATGCTCTCTTTGAGTGTGCCATCTTTTCCCCTGTTAGGAGCTATGTGAGAAAGCTAGAAACTAGCATACTGGTGAAGAAGCTTTGCAGTAGTGTAGGCAAGAGATGATGGCATCCTAATTTATTGTTTATTGTGGAAGTAAAGCTTATTTACTTTGGCAATAAATCTGAATATTTGGTCATGGATTGGGTGTCAACAGAGAGGAAAGAGAAAGGAAAACCTCAAGACATTTCCTAAGCTTTGTTTTGGATGGCACCTTTAAATCAATGGGGAAACTGAAGAGGAAGCATTCTTAGAATGAGTTTAGAGGGGCAGAATAAAAAATTCTATTTTGGTCAAGATCCTATTTGCATCTAAATGGTCATTTCAAGTTGGCATAGGGGAGAAGTCAGCATTTAAGGTTTAAACTTTTGATTCCCCAACATAATTTTTTCTTTCAATAAATTACAATTTCAACAAAATTACATTGAGTTCATGGAAGAATTTTTATAATTCATAGAATGGAAAGAACTGTGGAGAATGCAGTCCTCAAATTTGGCAAATTCTTAGGAATCAGTAATCCACATGGTTAGTTGTCTAGTTATAAAAAAGTTCTCAAGAAAGTCTAAGCAATAAAATCTGATTATAGAATAACTGGTTAGAAGCAAGAATTTGAAAGAAATAAGAGAAAGCTGAATGTAAAAAAATCATGCAAAAGATTATAAAACCAAGTTTTTAACTTTAGTGAGCCCTTGTAATAAGAAGAGCTATTCTAAGTAAACAGAATTCTTCACCACTAATTTAAATTTCTCCCAACCACCAACGCCAATTCAATTCCACAAATATTTATTGAGGATTTACATTTGCAGAAGATACTGTGCTAGGCTATGTGCTTGCAATGCATTCAAGAAAAATATCCTTTAAGTTTTATTGAACTGCTAAACATGAACTAAAATAAAAGTTTCTCCTATAAATGAAAAAGCCAAGAAGTCACGAAAATGAGCTAAAGAATCCAGAGACCTGGGCCACTCATAGCTTGAATCATTAACTCTGGGGTCAGAGATTATTCTTTAATCAAGCTTATGTGGTACACAAGAGAAGCCCTTGGAAATAACTGTTTCAGTCTGATGAAAAAAACTGGCTGCAGAGGGGGCTGACCTATACCCCCAGTTGTGTGGCATAGCCAGAAGCTATGTTCAAACATAACCATTTAGCTTGGAAATCAACATGACCAGGAAAAGCATCTTCTACAGGGCTACCACAGTGTGGGTGAGCTATTTTAGAATGTTGATCCCCGTCCTGGATCATTGCCCAGCTTCTGAAGGTCAGGGAAGGTTATAGAGGCAAGACTGAGGATTGAAGGCTGTAAGCGCCACTCCTCTAAGGCAAAGAGAAGGTAAGGTGAGGTTCTTTTATGATAGGCATGGTGCTTACAAGGTCCCAGCTCTCAGCATGAAACAGCAGAGTGCCTTCCATTCTTTCTACAAGCAGAGTGGGAGTCCTGTGAGTGTGGAGAAGATAAGCTGGCCATTGGCTTGTTTTCCAGCCAGTCCACACTTCACCCAGAGGAGTTTAGTGAATGTTCTGCTGAATGCAGGTTAAGCAATTCTCGCCCCTCTGTGACCTGACTTGATTTACTTCATCTTTTTTACTCAGCTTCTTTAACTGTAAAGTGAAAATCAGACCTACCTTGTAGGTGGTATCATGAGCCTTTAATTTATTGGGTGTTTAGTGGGATCCAGCCATGAGAAAATGCATCTTTTCCCTATGGGACTCAGTAAAGTTTTTTTTGTTTGTTTTTTTAACTTACAGTTGTTCACTACTGGTTCAGATGGGCTGAAAGACTATGTATGATTAGAAGGCCTAAGTAGACAAAGTTATTTACTTTTCTAATTGCATTCTCCAGTGATCTCAAGCTACAACTTGAGCCTCAAGTTCACAACTGCAAATAAAGAGAACCTTAGCCAGGTGGGGTCCAAACAGCCACTGGTTTAACAGAGGCTTCTATGGCTTTCAGATTTTCCATTTACTTCATTCATTAGGGAATAGTGGAAGGGCATGTTTTGAAGAGAAGGTTCTCAACCCTAGATGAACAGGGGGAGTTAAAATATTTCTTTTTAATTTAGAAATTGTTGACTGGGACATACCTCTGAAGTTTTTGATTTAATGACACTAAGGTGGGGAGTAGGCTTCAGTATTTTTTAAAGTTACCAGGTGACCCATGTTTATAACTGCTTTGTTTACAATTGGAAAGACATGGAAACAGCCCAAATGCCAAAAAGCAGATGACTGGATTAAAAAGATGTGGTACATATATACACAACGGAATATTACTCAGCAACCAAAAAAAATAAACACATGCCTTTTGCAGCAACATGGATGGAGCTGGAAAAGATCATGCTGAGTGAAATAAGCCAGAAAGAAAAGGATAAACACCGGATAGTTTCACTCATAGCAGCAGTATGACAGACCAGGCGAGAAAATAATAATAATGATGAATAGCTATATGCCAGAGACATTTTATGGGAGTGGAGTAGGGAATGGGACCAAAAACAGTGGGGGAGGGAAAATGCACTGGACTTTGGTGATAGCACATGGGTGATTTGGTGTTGGGAAGAGCCACGGGGATTACAACTGAGATGGAAAAATGCACAAAATTATGTAAAAATAAGCTATTATTTAAAAATAAAAGCTACCAGGTGATTAAAGTGCATCCAGCATGAGGACCACTGAGTAAGAGAGGACAGCTGGGCCTCAGTGACATTCTGACTGTATCACGGACACTGTCTCACCATCCTAACCTTGTTGGGCACAAGTCCCCGTTGTGATTCTCAGGAGAAGGGGAGCAGGAATATGCGATGTTCTTTGTGGGTATTTCCCTGAAATTGTATACAACCCTTCCACAAGTGGCTCATTAGCCAGATCTTAATTACACAGCTTACTTATCTTTAAGGGAGCTTAATAAATACTGTCTGAATGCTGAATAGTCCTATGTCCAGCTAAAAATTAGGGCTACCTGTGCTATCGAAAGGGAAAGGACAGATACTTGGAATAAAAGCCAACACTTAGTGCCCTTCTAAGGGTGCCTCCCTCCACACCCCGCACCACAGCTGAAATATACCTATTAAGCTACCTGTGAACAGTGTGCTTGGGTCAAGTCCCAGTGAAGTGATACTTTCCCCTGCTCCATGTCCCTAAGAAGTCACAAGTCCTATCAGAGAAGTGTTCCAAAGGAGCTCTTCAGAAAACCAGGCCTCCAAATCTATTGTCCCTCTAACATGGTGAAGTGGGCGTTAAGTGATAGAGAAAGAGCCAGTGCTGCCTTCTCTGCAGATTAAATCCTCCAGATTTACACCAGTGTCAGGAGCACTCTCTTATTTCATTCTGGAAGAAGCACAGATTATTTTCACTGGATCGTAAATATGTTTAACACTCTATTATACAAACCTTTTAAACCAGTTGTCTTGGGTGGCTGCAAATCATAGCTCAGAAGCAACTTTCTAAGATTTAAAGGGCCTTGAAATACCTAGATGCTATCGTTACTCAAGATTAATAATGGAGGGTATACATCTTGCTACAAAATTCATTTCAAGGAGAGAAAGCAAAATCCTTTGAGTTGGTTCCTGGTTTTTCTTACCTCTTTTTTCACTCTTTATTCAGCCACGGCTAAAATAAGAGTGGACAGTCAAAGACATTACTCTTCCACATAGGATTGGTGTTCTGTTCCTTCCCCAGTGCTCCAGGACTTGTGGAGGGGGCATCCAGAAGCGTGAAGTTTTTTGCAAACAGCGCATGGCTGATGGCAGCTTCTTGGAGCTTCCTGAGACCTTCTGCTCAGCCCCAAAGTTGACCTCCCAGCAAGCCTGCAGGAAAGATGACTGTCCCAGCGAGTGGCTGCTGTCTGACTGGACAGAGGTATGTATGCCCCACAAAAAGAGATCATGAAAGAAGTATAAACAAAGGCACTCCGTGTGGGGTGGTGGTATGCACCTGAGGTGTGAATTGATAGATTCACCCGAAGTTATATACAGTATTGTAAATCAATGTTACCCCAAAAAAAATGTTTTAAGAAGGCACCTAAAAAATATATAGATGGGGGATAAGAACAGAACAGAATAATCCTCCTTACATTATGGACCAGTATTTTGTATGTAACCAGCTTTTAACTAAGCTGCTGGGACATGAGTTAAGCAGCCAGTCTTTAATCAGCAATCAGAAGCAAGGAACTGTACGTGGAGTCATAACTGCTACCCATGGAACAAAACCAGGCTTCGTTCATGCAGTTGGGGCCCCAGCTCCTTCTCAGAACACTGGGTTATTCTTCCTCTATCTCCATGCATTCCCCGCTCCTGATCTCCCTGCACCTCCTACTCCCAGATGTTTCTAGTCTGTACTCAGGAAGGGCACAGCCTCTTCAGTTCTTCTCTTCCAAGTACTGGACAATAAGCAGCATGATTTATTAGGAAACGAAGGCCAAGGAAATCTTGCCTTTTTACTGTCAGTTTCCTGGCTGCAAAACCACAACAACTTCCCAGCAAAAGAACTTGATTTCCCCTGTTGCCTGTGCATTTGGGGGGCTGCTGCAGCATCACTCACTATTGCTGACTTTACCTTTAACTAATCCCTTTGCCTACTAATCCTGTGGTAACATTAGCATAAATTAATCCATTTACACCCAGCATCAGCTTACTTGTTTTCAGCCCCCCCTCCTATTTTGAACTCCCTACAACTCCCTCGGCTTCACAGACCCATGTGTGTCCCATAAGGAAGTCCCCCCAAAATTGCTTCACATGCAGAGTTAGCCAAGAATACTAGGGCTTAAGTGTTCAAACCAGATTCAAACCCACCCCCACCTCTGTCGTACACAAGCATTTGAATTGGCCTCACTGACCCCATTATCTTCTTTGTACAATATTCAAGTCCCAGGTTGAAATACATCACAGGATTACTTCCTTCCACAGAAAAGAATTCTGCCTCTGAAAATTAAAAGACCGCCTTCTTCAACATAGGTTCTTAGAATTCTCAGGTAGTACCTGCTACAGACACTGCCGTTGAGCTAAGCTACATCACTATAGATTGGTCATTTTGGCAGTAAAATGGCTTTCTGATAGCATTTCACAGCGAGTGTGTCAGAACAAAAGGGTTTTGATTCATCTACTAAAAATAATTTTATTTCATCAGACTAAACGATTGAATGTGCATGAGTATGTGTGTATGTGCCTAGAGATGTGTCAGTTTTCCAGGGGAATGGTGACTTAGGATATGGTGGTCTAGATGAACAACCCTAACAAAAATAGCAGTGTAGGAGGGAACACTGAGGTATTGCCCAGGTAATTGGTTCTGGCTGAAGACCTGATGGGGGGAGGAGGAGGGAGTTGGAGAAGAGGGTTTGTAAAAGGTGTTGCCATCCTAAGCCTGGCAGGGCTAGTCTCTCCCATGGGTGGATGCTGAGGCTGGGGCTGGACTGTCATCATTGCCTTTCCATGTTCCTGGAGTTTGTGGGCTTTAAGCGTGTGGGACACAAGGAATTTAAAACCATTCTTCCCATCCACAGATAGGAAGAAGGGACCCTGGGGATTAAGCTCTAAGGAAAGGAGACTGCTGAACTGAGCCCTGGGGGTCCCATTAAGTAAAGCAAGTCTTTGGAACAATATCATGGTGTGTTCAGCATCAAAGACAGGCAAATTTAGGCTCTAATCTCTCTTCTACCATTGGGCTAATTACTTAACTTTTATATATCTTAGTTTGTTTACCTGAAAAAAAGAGATTATAATAGTGTCCGCTTTTATGATTATTGGGAGACATGAATTAAATGTATATGAAGGGTTTTATGCCCAGTAAATTGTAGTTCTGATTCTCTTCCATCCCTGCTTTTTGTCAGAAGAGGAATAAAAGAAAACATTTACCTTGATGGGTTAGACCCAGGGTCAAGGCCTAGACCTCCCATGGTCTTTGCCCATCCTCCTAGGAAGGAAGAAGTTAGATTTTGGAAACTAGGAGTAGTGAGCATATCCAAGGAATGCTATTAGGTTTTGAGCTATCTGGCTGATGAATGGAAATTCCGAACATTGAGGAGGGGCTGGGAATGGTGGAAAGTCATTCGCTGGGATCACTGGGGGATTCCCAAAGGTCCACATCGGCCCTGTCATCTCAGCCGCCCTTTCCTTTACTCTCTGGCTGAGTTGAGATGAACATTCCACAAACTACCCCCTTTCTCTAAAAGGAAGACCTGGATGATCTATGGGTGTTTTTTATCCTCAACTATCTGGGCTCAATCTCATGGTTACTGCAAAGAATCCCTGAGAGACAGAATTAAGCCAAAGTTTTAGACACTTCAAATAAAATTGCTTTCAGACTGCATACTGTGAGTAAAATCTCTCAAAAGGCCTTCTTTTCATTAAAGGAAACCCTCTATCTCCTGAAAGACTTGGCTATTAAATATTTTTAAATCATAATTTGGGGAAAGTTGCTACCCCCAAATTATAAGAATGAAATGATAGACTAGTGGATTTTAGTGCTAGAAGGAACTTAGAAGATCCAATGGCCTGGTTATTCTTTTCAAAATCAAAGCCACACAGCTTTTTTTTTTTTTTCTTTTTTTCCCCCTTTTCCCTAGTGAAATGCTACTATGAAGCCAAAAATCTAATGAGGTAAACTCAGCTGTTTTGTTTGAAGCCCAGGTAGGGGTTCCCAGATGGGTCTCCAAATCACCCAAGAGATCCTTGAATCGCTTTCCCAACAGCTAGAGACAAGGTTTGAAAATCCCTAGTCTCACTTGGTTTCCTTATTGTAGAGATGTTGGAAATTGAGCCTAGGAAAGAACTGGGCTTAACCAAAATCATAAACCCATCTCCTGACACACAGTCTATTTTTCTGCATGGCAGCACTAAAATTGCCCTCTTTTAAAATTTCCAGGCTCTTTACCTCCATCCCACCTGATTTGTGGATTTGGTTCTGTCATTTACAATAAAATAAAGGGTAGTTGGAATCTAAAATCCACCATTGTCAGGGAACCAAAGCAGTGGGTTTGCTTCCCATCCCCATGTTTTGCAGCTTAATCACCTTTCAGGGTGGCATGTCTCACAGCACTTTGCATAGAGTAGTTCATTTCCATGGGATGGCAAATAAAACTTGAAAATATGAGATAATTTTCCTTGGTTTTTACTGTCATTTTTCAAGTTAACATGGCACACAGCCATGACCCCAGTGCCAGCTTTTATCATCTGAAGCCTGAACTACTGTGGCAGCCTCTTCACTGACATACCTGCCTGCCATCTGTCTTCTCCTCCCGTCCCTCCCAGATACTGTTGCCAGATTAACCTTCTTAAAACACCTCTTTCATCATTTTACTCCTCCCTTCAATGGCTCCTGATTGCTTTATGGACCAATTCCAAAACTCCAGTCTGAAAATTAAGTCTCCAATGTCTTGCCCCAAACTACCTCCTTAAGCTCCTAACACTCTCGATTTAGTCTCTCTGTCCAGACAGGTTAGTTCTGCCCCCAGGCCTGCCTTGAACTTTTTTTGTTTGTTTTTTCAATGCAACAAGCTATTTTATTCTGTAAGTTTATCCCATCTGGAGACGTACACAAATGAGGAATTCAAACATTGAAAACCACAAACAAAAACTAAACACTAACAAACCTAGTTATATGAGAATGTCCTAATAAAGAAAATATTTTGGGTGTGAACCAACATTGCACTGAGCTCTTTCTGCCTCCCATGCTTATTCCGGGTTCTCTACACCCACCCAACCACTACCCATTTCCAGCACCTAATTTTCAATCATACCCATTTTCAATCACTAGCATACTATAAGCCTTCAGCAACTGTTAGCACCAATGCTCTATACCTCACTTTTCTTTTAGTTTTATATGTTTGGCCAAATTCTTTTATTCCTATTTCATTCCTTAAACAGCTTGATTGAGGTATAATTTACATACCATAAAATTGAATTTTGCATAATGTTTTCTAGTTTTATCCAAGTTGTAGCACATAAAAGAACTATGAGCTACATATTTATGGTGGCATAATATTCCCTTACACAGTTATACCACATGTGGTTTACCCATTCACCACTTGATGGACATTTGAATTGTTTCCATATTTTGCCTATTATAAACAATGCTGCTGTGAATATTTGCATACAAGTCTTGGTGTGGATATATGTTTTCATTTCTCTTGGGTAAAGACCTAGAGTGAACTTTCTGGGTCACATGGTAAATTTATGTTTAACTTTTTGAAAAACTACCAGACTTTTCCAAGGTGGCCTAGTTGTCCCATTTCATATTCCCACCACCAACACATGAAGACTCTAATCTTTCTGTTTTGTTAATTTTAATAACAACAACACCTGCTACTATCTCTTAATTATGGCCATTCTAGTGTATATGAAGCTGTATTTCGTTGTGGTTTTTCTTTCTAGTCCCTAATACACTATCTCATCTTCGTGCATTTGTACTTTACCCCTCATTTGATGACAGCACCTTGATTTTCAAAACCATCTCATACATCTTTTTTCCAATAGCATCTAGCACCCCGCCTCAAAGTAGATACATAACAGTTATACGCTGGTTGGCTTTAAACTACTATTTCTTTGTGATGGAGGAAGAAAGGCCCTAGCGTTAATTGTGATTTCAGTGTGTGACATTTCAAACATATTATCTCGTTTCATTCCCAAACTTGTAAAATAAGCATGAGAACAGACTCAGAGTTGAATTTGTCCACCACTGGAACAGTAATAATGTTCAAGCTAGCATTTGCACATAGTACTCCATAAAACACAGTAACTCTAAATCCCAGGCCATATAAGTGAACATAGGAACAATGTCTATGGAGAACCGTAGAGAACATCGACGATATGACCACGTCTTCCCAAAGTGTTTATAATTAATATTTCTCACTCTCTCAATAACTATTGCTTTTCCAAGCAACGTTTTTCATGCTTTGGTGACTTCGGGAGCCCCTACAAAAACCCATTAGCCCCACTTCCCTGTGTTTACCTGCATTGGGTCTTTCTTTTCCCATCAGTGTTCCACAAGCTGTGGGGAGGGCACCCAGACTCGAAGTGCTATTTGCCAGAAGGTGCTGAAAACCGGCGTCACGACGACTATCAATTCCTCCCTGTGCCCTCCTCTGCCGTTCTCATCATCCATCAGGCCTTGTATGCTGGCAACCTGTGCAAGTGAGTAGTTCTGTGGGGTTAGGGGGATGAGCCCACATCCAAGCAGCCATGGCCTTCAGTAGCCTACCCAAAACCCAAGGCCAGTGAGCTCAGCTGGAGATGGAGAAGGAAGCTTAATTACATGTGGCCAGGCAGAATTCTCTTCTCCACTGGAAAAACAGTTTGCTGGGGGTAGAGCAAAGATCACTTGTTGGCATACAGAGATCTGGAAGCTGGAGGCAGCAGAATACTAATGAAGTCTAATGTTATCCGCTCTGGGGTTTTAAACTGCTCTAAACAGATTTGTTCTGTTTAATATTAATCCCTAGAGTTGTAACACTTCTGGGCTTCCCTCCCCATGTGCACTAGGGCCCCGGTGCTGTGCTGGACCCAAAGGGTAAATACTGAAATGGAGAAGTTCCCTCCTTCGTTGTCCTGTGCCTCTTTTTATAATGCTGATTTTTTTTAAGTCCTTTTAATGAGAGGAACTGCCTTTCCCCTGGGTTCCTCCTCCATCTAGAACTCTGCATCTCAGCTTCTAGGGGTAAAAAGACCCAGCAGGGTGATAGCAGGGTGCCCCACTGCACCTCATTAGCTCGCTGTTTGATTGCCACAGGCAGCTTGATGGTCCACAGCTGGCACTGAGTTCCTCTCATAAAACCGAAGATGGCAAATGAAGGCCCTGGCCAAAATAAATTCTGCAGGGCTTTCTTTCCTCTCTTTTGTCCCTCTGTGTCTCTCCTCTTCTCTGTCTCCTTTGCCTCTCTCATCGCCGTATCTTTGTCTTTTATCCTCTGCTGTTCCCTTACCTTGCTCTATCTGGTTCTCATTCCAGGGCCTGGCCGGCCAGCCACAAAGCACAGCCCCCATATTGCCGCAGAAAGGAAGATTTACATCCAGACGCGCAGGCAGCGGAAGCTGCACTTTGTCGTGGGGGGATTCGCCTACCTGCTCCCCAAGACTGTGGTGGTGCTACGGTGTCCCGCGCGGCGCTTCCGCAAGCCCCTCATCACCTGGGAAAAAGATGGCCAGCACCTCATCAGCTCCGCCCATGTCACTGTGGCTCCCTTTGGTTACCTGAAGATCCATCGCCTCAAGCCTTCTGACGCAGGCGTCTATACCTGTTCTGCGGGGCCAGCCCGGGAGCAATTCGTGATCAAGCTCATTGGAGGCAACCGTAAGCTGGTGGCCCGGCCCCTGAGCCTGAGGAGCGAGGACGAGGCCCTCTGGGTTCGGAAGATAAACCCAAAGGAGGCCCTGCAGACCCACAAGCACCAGAACGGAATCTTTTCCAATGGCAGCAAGGCTGAGAAGCGGGGTCTTGCTGCCGACACTGGGAGCCGCTACGATGACCTTGTGTCGAGGCTGCTGGAGCAGGGAGGCTGGCCAGGAGAGCTCCTGGTCTCGTGGGACGCCCAGGACTCCACGGAAAAGAACACATCCTCAGAGGAGGACCAACACGCCGAGCAGGCCCTTCTGCACCTGCCCTTCACCATGGTGACCGAGCAGAAGCGTCTTGACGACATCCTTAGAAACCTCTCCCAGCAGCCCGAGGAGCTTCGTGACATCTACAGCAAGCACCTGGTGGCCCAGCTGGCGCAGGAGATCTTCCGCAGCCATCTGGAGCACCAGGACATGCTCCTTAAGCCTTCTGAGCGGCGGATTCCCCTTGTGGCCATCCCTCCTCATAAACACGTGTCTGGCTTCAGCAGCTCGCTGCGGACCTCGTCGTCTGGGGAGGCTGGGGGCGGCTCTCGCCGGCCTCACCGCAAACCCACCATCTTGCGGAAGATCTCTGCTGCCCAGCAGCTTTCTGCCTCCGAGGTAGTCACCCACCTGGGACAGACTGTGGCCCTGGCCAGCAGGACCCTGAGTGTTCTTCTGCACTGTGAGGCCATAGGCAACCCAAGACCTACCATCAGCTGGGCCAGGAACGGAGAAGAGGTTCAATTCACTGACAGGTGAGCCTTGCAGCTCCTGGGGTAGTAAAGGAGGGGCGCAAGGAGCCACAGGTTGTCCAAAACACCCTCTTCACACTTCCTTGGAGGTGTTTGCAGGGGTAGTGGTGAGCACACCAAACCCCAGGGATCACAGCTTGGGGTCAATCCCTCTCTCACCATTGATAGACTTTGAGTAGAATCAAGGTGTTTACATTCTCTGAGCTCTCTGCTCTCATTTTTGTAAAATAATGGCATCTGTACTTGTCCACCCTAATCCCCAGAGGATCCCAAAGATGAATGAGATGCTCTCCTGATAGCTTTGAACTTCTGGCTGAAAGTATCAGACCAAGTCATTATTACATTACCACTTTGTGAGATGAGCCATTGAAAAGCTTCAAAACAGGGACACTGTCTCCCTATGTGTGGTTCCCCAGGGCTGGGGAGCCATTGCAGCCAGAACCTGCGGCTCCCTCTGTGTGAGCCCAGCCTCTCCCTAGGCTGCACAGGGCTGTTTGTTCCAGAAAGACTTTATTTCCAGCCCATCCTGTGATTAATTATCCTAACATCTCTTAGTGTCTCTGTTTTGATATGCTGCTCCTGGAATGACAGCATGTATGACTTATTGATTTCCTTGGGCCACGGCCATTCATAATGTAAAATCAGTAGTGGCAGTAGAATTAATAAGCACAGCTTATTCTTAAATACCACACATGTACCAACCACTATGCCATGCTTTTTGAATCTTTATAGTAGCCTTCAAAACAATGATTTCTGGTATTCAAAGAGCAGTGCTATCTGCTAGACGAATGTTAACTCTTGATGGATGTCATCTCTGCATCCCAACAGCCCAAGAAGTGAGTTAACCACACTTTACAGGAGAGGAAACAAAACCTAGGCACTTGATAAAGATTGTATTTATTAGGTGGCAGAGCTGAATTATGTGATTAAAATCACCATTTGAATCATAGATTAAATGTGAGGGAAAAAAAACTTAAAGGCTTCCAATCCAGATTCCTCATTTTAACACTCTATCTTCCCTGAATCCATATCTAATGCTCTTTTCATTAAATAGTTTTCTACCAACTATTGTTAGGCTAATCCTCTTTTCTAGTTTACTAGTATTGTGTAGGGAAGGAAAGAAACCAGGGTTTCTTGTGCCAAGTGTGATGTCAGGTTTATTTACATGAAACTGTACTTTTTTATTCTAAGAGTCAATCCATACATTTGACATTAACCTCCAGTTTTACATAAAAAAATATAAGTTCAGCAGCTCATCCAAGATCACACTTTATTAATAACTGGATCAAGGACTCAATATCAGGTTTATATGATTCCAAAGAGTAGTGCTGTCTGTACTTCTAAAACTTAGTGAACAAGCTTGATCCATCATTCCCACAACTTTTGTACCTTTAAAATGTCAATAATATTTTCTCAGCCTTAGTATATTATTGTCTTAATAATATTGTCTTAGCCAAAGAACCGTAACAATACTAGGTATTTTCTTTCTGTGTGCTCTTACATAGGCCAAACAACATGCTTAGTGCTTTCAAAGCATTTTTTTTTCTATAGGGTAACCCTATAGGGTAAACACTGTTGTTGTTACCACATTTTTTTTAAAGATTTATTTATTTATACATACAGAACTGGGGTACAGGCCAGAGGTGCAGGGGCAGTAAGATGCTTCACCAGAGACAGAGTGGGGAGCAGAACAAGCAGATCAATGAGGGGAGCAGTGAGCAGGTCAGGAGAGGTCTGCTGTGCCATGTGGGTCACACCCTGGCTGGGGATGAAACTCTTGCTGAAGTGGCTGCAACTAGCTTTGTAGTGCTATGCTTTAACCCTTTGCATCACCAGGGAGAGCCTGTTACCACATCTTACTAAGAAAGCTGATGTTGCACCCACACCCAAGCACAAGGCAGCATAACTTAGGAGTCTGAGTTGGTAACCTCTCCTCTTACTTATTTCTGAGTTTGTCCCTCCCCAGCTTGAACTTTCCTTGATCTTGCTTAATTGCTATGACTTCTTCTGTTCTTTCCTGATTGTTCATATTTATAATAAATTGTTGAGGCAAACCAAATTTTGAGGCCTCAGCGTTGCTAGGAGTTAGCTGCAACATCAGGCCACCAAGATGGCAGGTGCTGGTCATAGCAGTGCACGGGTGGGTGACGCCACCAATTCTCCTCATTCATCACACCTGCCCTACCCACTGAGCCAAATCATGCGATTTACCACTAATCAGTTCCTCAAGCATGTTTCCATTTTATTCATATCTCCTAAGTCTTTTGTTCAGGATAAGGTGTAGTGTGGAGAGAAAGTTGGGCATTAGCATTTCTTGACTGAATACATGTACACTGCCCCCATGTCTGCAGTCATCACTTGAATCATAGACTAATTATAGGGGGAAGGGGGACCAGTCATCATCTCAATGTTCACTGCAAAGTGTTACATGTGAGCTGTGACCCTACTTTAGGGAGGAAGACATCAAGGTTCCCAGAAGTTGAAGGACTCAGCCAATGTTAAATAACTAGTAAAAGGCAGAATGGAGAGGGCATGTTCAAACCCCGTTGTGCCCAGTTCCAGCCCATGCTTTTTGAGTACCCTCCCTGCTTCACCAGGGTCGCCGAGCTGCATCAAGACCTTTGCTGTTTCCACCTGCCCTTCTTAGGGTGCCTTCCTTTGACTTCCTTTGACTTTCCCCTCAAGAGCTGTGGAATAAGATGAGCTGCTGGGTTTATGTTCTCCATCATGGAGCTCCTGTGATGGAGAAAATAAACTGTTTGTTCATTAGTATATATAATATCAAGCATCATGCCTGGCACATTCTAAGTTCCCAAGAACTACTTGAATAAACAATATGAGAATTTAAACAAATAAAAGAAAAGACAGGCTGCTGGGAAGGGAGAAGGGATGATTAAGACTCTGCTGTGCCTGCAACTGCAAGGAGAATATTGAGATCATGTCTTACCAAGACGTCCAGTGTTACCAAGACGTTTGTGTGCTTATGAAACCCAAGGCCACAGCCTACCTAGGTCAAATGAGGAACACAGAAATATTATGGGAGGAGCCATATAAGGATCGAGGGCTTCTGGCTGATCTTGCCAATGCCTTTCACTTTTCATTTTCTTCTTTGCTTCATTTCAAAAGTGAGAGGGTTGTGCCAGATCATTTCTGAGGTCCTGTCTGCATCCTTGACTCATTCATAGAAGAACATAGAAGGTTAAAACCTATAGGTTGAGCCCTCCCTGGTGGCACAGTGGGTTAGGGCACAGCACTGCAAGCTAGCCACAGCTGCTTCAGTGCAAGTTCGATTCCTGCCCCAGAGGTGATCCACATGGCACGGCAGACCTCTCCTGACCCACGCACTACTCCCCTCAGCAGTGTACTTCATCAATCTGCCTGTTCTTTTCCCCACTCTGTCTCTGGTGAATCCTCTGTACCTCTGGCCTGTACCCCAGTTCTGTATGCATAAATAAATCTTAAAAAAAAAAAACCTATAGGTTGACAGGAATGGACAGAGTCTTAAGTGCAGTAACTTCAGAGTTTGTTGCACACATTGTTTCTGGGTGCTCCCAAAATGGGGTTCAGAGAGCACATGAGTTTAGGATATGCTTGCCTAAAACTAAACAGATGTATTTATTGCTAGATTTTACTTCTATATTTTTAATATTGTGCTTGGTTTTTTTATCATAAAACTAATAAAGGGGCTGTAAAACAATTCAAGTAATACCTAAATCTATAAAGTAAAAATGCAAGTCTCCCTCATCCCCCAATTCTACTCCCCAGAGAATGTTACTCTTAATAATTTGGTATACATCCTTTTGGAATTTTTATATATTTTATTGTATTATATATAAAACACATATTAAGGCATAGGATTTGGATTTTTAATGGGCTATTACTCATGTTTAGAAATTTGACTTAGTTTTTATTCAACAGCATGTCTCCATGTCTAGGAGACGTTTTCATAAAAGTATGGAGTGCTCTATGTCACCTTTTTAAACAACTGATTACTGTTTCTGAATGCATTTAACTATCCCCCAATTGAAAATTATCTTGGTTTTTTTGCACTTATTTAACATTTTAAAGGTTGCAATGTGTGTTGTGACCTTCCCAGTGGATGATAGAGTATGTGTGGCTTTCCAAGTACTTTGACCAGCAAACAATTTCTTGGCCCAGTAATGTCATGAATACCAACAATTCTTGAGATAGCACTGAGAAGTACTACTTTTGCCTTTTAGTTTTCATCTCGCTTGAGAATCTAACCCAAATAGCTTTAAGATGAATAAGGTTCAGCAGGCTCTTGCTAGAAAAAGAAATATGGCTGCCTGTGCAGGATAATCGGCCGGGACTGGAGGTGTTAGTCGTCAGTCACCAGGATGCTGGTGGGAGTAGAGGTGGGGAGCAGCATTAAAAAGCTAAGCACCCTGACAGGTGTGAGCAAGCAGTTTTACAGTCCTTGTCACCGTCAACATTCTACTCTAACTCTGTCCTTGACAGAGCTTTTTCATGCAAATTACAGCTTGTGGTAGAGAAAAATAAGAGATTTCTGTTTCTAATCTTTGACGTCATAATTTTTCCATTTTACTTAGCTGGCCAGTAAGCCATGTGGTGTAGTTTTTGATACAGTTTTCCAAGTACTGTGTAAGATGAAGTGAATGGATCTGCTCAGCACACAGGCAGCACAGAGCTGCCATTGGGACCGCTTTGCTGTGCACTGCTGGTGACCTCTTTGTGTTGGGTTTCATTGCTTGTCATCATTATTGTGTTCGGTAGTGGTTCAGAAACACTCATTTATTTTCAAGCAGAGAAGTGCTGAAATGTCCAGTGTTATAGTGCAGTTAGTCTGGTTTTGCTTAGTACCCAAATCCATCTTTCTAAAAGAATCTGAAAAAACACAGCTGTCTATTGGTTGGTAGGACTTTACAGTGTATGAAAGTATTCTTGAAACAGCCTGCACCAGCAAGATAGGTCAGGGAGAAAGAACCTGAGAGACATCTATTATTTCTTTGGCCTTCCAATAT